CACTTTAGCTCCTTCTAACCACAGCTAGTTCAAGTGTTATACCTTCTTGATGCCCCACAAGAAGCAACTAAGGGAGAGCGCAGCAGTTTCAACTTTGTGGGAGCCATTCTTTAGTGAGGACTTACCACAGAGTACCAAAGTAGTGTCCATAATGTCTGTTGTTGGTGGTGGTTGTGGTGATGAATCCAGTTATGAATGGCAATTCTGTCTCCCTCACCACTATAGACTACACTTTTACTTCTAGCCCAGAAGCTACTCACCTATGAGTATGTTGAGCCAGATGAATTAGAAGGTGAGAGTGCGGAGAGGACAGGCGGCAGACAAGAATTTTCTTTGGCAACTAGTGTGCACTATTTTCTGAAGAATCATCTCATCTAACAGATAATTGAGACATTAGCTGCACCTTCTATAACTGGCACAAGTTGCTCACTTACTGTCAATGTAAACATAACCACTACCTGTCACCAACGCACCCAACTCCAAGAGTTTTGCGTGGCATAGATGTGGCGGTGAAAGGGTTAACGTTCACTATTTGTCCGCACTAGACCGGAAATAATGATAAAATCCTGCTTAACACCGCCCACACTTAAGCATAAATAATATAAATATTACTATTTTAATGCTGCCACCAACAAGACAATTTATAAATGGGGTGCCTTGGTGCCCCAGGTAACTGAATAAGAAAAACCCACCAAATACAACTTAGCACAATATCTAAACAATTGCAAAACACTCATTAATCAGTCTCTTCAGGTAACGTGATTCTTAACCACACAAAGGCAGAACCTAATAAAGGAATATTTATTATGAGCAAAAAAATTGTCACAGTGCATACAAGAATATAGATGACAATAAAATTAGTTACACCAACAACAGTTAAAACCAAAAGGGATAAAATAACAGAAGTCCTAATCACTGACTCAAGTTCTCAAAGTAAAATGTCTGCCCAGGGGGTCTCCGGTAAGAAAGGTGGTGACTCACTTAGAGTTAGATTCTGACCCCCAAGCAAGTACAATGCACACTTCAGTATTATTAGAGGTGGAGTTAAGGCATATCTATAGAGACAATATGTGACCACCCCCTTGTGTCCCAAACTCACATCAGTCCAAATAGAAACTTTTCCTTCTATCTCCTCTTTTATACTTGCCACAGAAATAATTGCCTCTATCAATGTGTTACCATTTCTACATCCCATAGATATTGTCAGAATATTTATATCGGCAGACATTTTGTGCGAAGAAAGAAATTAAAAGTGTATATTGCCAGAGTCAAAGAAATACAGGGCTCCAAAATCACCAGATAAATAAACAAGGATAATAAAAAATTAATGAAGATAATACTGTTTATTTAATAATGTGCACCAACAATGTGCAAATAGTAAAAGATATATTAACATAAAAAGCCTCAATAGGCTAAAAGACCCATAGGTATAGCAGCTCTACATAACATGAAAAAGTGCTAAATGCTAAAGTGCAGACAGTAAAATAAAGTGGCAGAGTGCAACTCCCATCACTTCAAGCTGGTAAACATTCACAATGTCCACAACTAGTCACATAGGCAAAGATCATGTAGAACAGAAACTGCTAATACCAAAGTGGAAGGGTCCTCAATGCTGCTCAACGCGTTTCGTCCTCTAGACTTCGTCAGGAGCTTCTTAATCTTCTCTCACTCTTCTCTCTTTTAAATCCGCCGGTCCGCCGGTTCTTTCGTGACCGCGCATGCACCCGTCACGCGCACCGTCATACGTATGATTTAGGATTTCTGTATATGTGACCTGTTCCTCAGATACTGTATTCACCTTATTGATGTTAAAAATGAGTATTCCATTTATTCATGTAATAAATGTGCTTCTTATTATTATTTTTTATTCCCTTCCTGTTTGATACATCTTTAAATAGATTTTGTTATAATATAAGTTTTTCCTATTTGTGCTATATGCACCCTCTTTTATATTTATATATATTTTTATAAGAATATTTTTTATAATAATTTTGGTTTATAATAATTTTTTGTTTATAATTATTTTTTGGCTAATAGCTTTTAACATATTCTCCCTCCTATTTTTACTTATTTTCCTCTTCCCCATGAAGCTACATTTATAAATTTAATCAGCCGACAGTCTCAGCATTATTATGAACGTTTTTGCTGTAGGACATTCAGTTGCTACTGTGCACATAGTACAATAAAGTTTATTTGCGCTCCAGCGTGGCCGCGCATGCGCAGGGCGTTCACGCGTGCGTCATGACGTATGACGGTGCGCGCGATGGGCGCATGCGCGGTCACGAAAGAACCGGCGGATTTAAAAGAGAGAAGAGTGAGAGAAGATTAAGAAGCTCCTGACGAAGTCTAGAGGACGAAACGCGTTGAGCAGCATTGAGGACCCTTCCACTTTGGTATTAGCAGTTTCTGTTCTACATGATCTTTGCCTATGTGACTAGTTGTGGACATTGTGAATGTTTACCAGCTTGAAGTGATGGGAGTTGCACTCTGCCACTTTATTTTACTGTCTGCACTTTAGCATTTAGCACTTTTTCATGTTATGTAGAGCTGCTATACCTATGGGTCTTTTAGCCTATTGAGGCTTTTTATGTTAATATATCTTTTACTATTTGCACATTGTTGGTGCACATAATTAAATAAACAGTATTATCTTCATTAATTTTTTATTATCCTTGTTTATTTATCTGGTGATTTTGGCGCCCTGTATTTCTTTGTTTCTATTGTATATTTTAAGGTTTGAGTGACCTTTTTACAGTGGCTTGCCTGCATCCAGATACCACTACACTTCACCCAACCCTGTACTTGTTTCATATATTGCCAGAGTCACTCAGAACAGAGCAGACTCCATTTTGCTATTTCAGGATAACAAAGACACATAATTTCCTTGCTTTCACTAACCACTGAGCCTGAGCTAAGGAATGCATTATATAAACAAAGACACTAGTGACAGAGAAGACTAAGTAATTAATTTTACTTTCTAAATTTTACAAGGTTCCATTGTAAGTAAGGGGTGAAATTGAGTTAAGAACTGCCAATTTTAGAAATTACGATCAAAGTAGTTGCCACAAAGACTGAGACAAACGCTTTGAACTGACAGCAAATTTAAGTTATGGTAGTCATTTTAGATAAGCCAAATGACGTCAAAATCGTCATCAGGGAAAGTTAACTCTTTCCTGGATAGGAAGGTTTCGTTAGACGAGACTGCCATCTATGGATCAAATACCTAAATTGCGATCCATAGATTGAACCCATCTTCAGTTTCCTATTGGCCTTATCAACTAATGACATACAGAGAGTCTGGCCCTTTAAAAGTTAGGACAAAGGGAAGAGAGAGTTAGTTGGTGAAGTTTGGGC